AAAGAGACTTTTCCTCAGGGAAGTGTTCTTCTGACCGCACAACCAAGATACACTCCAGGCTTTAAAAATGCTTCCTGAGGAAAACAGGTTCATTCTAGTGTTTTTGAGACTGGATAAGTTTAGCCTAAAGGCATCCACAAGGATTGGCTTCAGTTCTTATTCCCAGTAGTAATACATCAATCTTGTTCTTGCTCTTTCTCTGCCAGTTTCAAAAATTCACTGAGGTTAATTTTCAACTGCTTCTTGACAGAGAGAAAGCACAACCAGACGAATGCTTCTTTATGTTCCTCTCTAGAAACATCAAGACATGACAAAGTCAACAAGGAATCAGATAAAAGGGGAAGCAGCCATCACTTCCCAATCCCCGCCCCGCCACCCATACATATCCTGCTGTTTGCTCCAAGAGTGAAGTGCTAGAGTCTGAGCTTTGATCGAATCAGTGCTGTGCCCAAGCACATACCCACATGGCTTGTCTTCAGCTGCTAAGACTTCACGGTATTCTCTGTGGAAGTCTCCCAATCCTGTGTTGATGTATTTTATCTGGCTCCTTTAGCAATAGTGGGAAAAGTGTTATATGTATAATAATCCCTCTACAGTACTCAAGGAACTGTTTAAGTGATTCATTTCCTAGAATTTTCATGATCCACTGTTCAGAGCAAAGGCATCATGTGCCAGGCTCCCAGGACCCTCTAACGTCATGACCATCATCTCTGCCATAGGACTCTCCCTGAACAGCTAACTGTCGTCCCTAATCAGAAAAGTATTATTTAACAGAATGAAACAGTCACCCAAAGTCCACAAGGATGGCCAACAGTATACTATAATCTGAAATTTATACACAGAAATTCACACAGTGTCACTGGTATAATCACCAGCCATCAATCAACACTTGTCATAATAGCAAACATACCAACGAAAAAAACAGCAACTGTGTTCTGACAAGGAAGATAAACAGTTCTCTAGGGGAAAGATTATAGTGTTGGAACACAATGATTTCTGACAGGAAAACAAAGTGAGAAAGGCCATGGCATTACAACTACAAGAGAACAATATAGCACATCAGAATACACACACAGAATTTTTTCCAAATAATACGTGTCTTGAAGAAAAATCGTAACACTGAAGTTGCACTTTAAAGGTGATTTTTGTGTGTGCTGTGTGGATTACATACCAATAAGTTTGTTTTTCATAAAATCTCAACAAGAAAGCACTAGAATCCTGGAGTTTCCAGGACCACAGTGATCTGCTAAAGGTATTCCCATCAACCTGAAGTCTCAAGCACCTCATGATGAGACTTCTTCAAACAATCACGCCAGGACCTTCTGGCCAGATTTGAGAGGGGGTGCGCATCACAAGGACACAGAGAGGTATCCGTTCACTGGCAGTCGTTTAAGTAAACCACGGCTGGGATGCCTTCGCTCCTGCACTGTCTCCAGTTGCAATCGTTCTGAGAGCACAGTTCCGAAAAGTTTCCAGATAGGCCTGGAACCATCGACGCTGGTTTCAAGGATTACATGGGGTCGTTCCGGTCCAGCCCTCAGCTCCTTGAAGCAGAAGAAACACTGGGCCAAGTCGGCTCGTTCTCAGTGGGCAGTGGACTGAAGCCGGCCTCGGCCATCTGCAAGAGGACAGCGCAGTTGTGAGTAGGCGCCCGCCGGACTCGGCGCGGAGCCGCGGGCTCCCAGCAGTCCCGGGGTCGAGGGTGCGCAGCGGACCGGCCAGAGGCGGCAGCCCGAAGGCGGCACTGGGAGGTGCGGCAGCGTCTCGGCCCACGCGGCCAGTCGGGGTGCGAGGGCTGGAGGTGGCGGCAGCCGGGATCCTCGGGCCCAGGCAGGGAGAGGGCCGGCATCCCGGCGTAGGGTCTGGAAGGGGGCGGAGCCCGGATCCTCGGGCCCAGGCAGGAGAGGCCCGGAAAGCCCCGGAAGGGTCGTCGCGGACTGGGGAGGTGGGGCGCAGCCCGGATCCTCGGGGCCGGCCACGAGGGCCGGCAGTCCGGGACGGTGTCGGCGACTGGGGAGGGTGGGGGGGCAGCCGGATCCTCGGGGCCCAGGCAGGGAGAGCCGCAGCCCCCCGGACGGGTCTTTTGGTCTGGAAGGGCAGCCCGGATCCTCGGGCCCAGGCAGGAGGGCCGGCAGCCCCCGGAAAGGGTCGTTTGGTGGCCTGGGGACTTGGCGGCAGCCGGATCCTCGGCGGCCTTGGGAGGGGCCGGCAGTCCGGAGGGTCGTCGGCGTCCTGGGGAGCTCGGGGCGGGCAGCCCGGATCCCGCGCCAGAGTGGCCGCAGCGCCCCGGGGGAAGGCCGGGGCGGGAAGGCCTCGCCGGGGGCGGGCCGGGGCGGGCCTTTCGGACCCCGAGGAGCCGGGCGGTCTCACCCGCTCTGGGGTGCAGGCGCAAGCCCTCCAAGAAGGGCCAGTTCTTGAACGTCGACACGCGGTGGTCCTTGAGAAAGAGCTGCCAGGCGGGGGAACGTTCGGGCGCCATGGGGCGAGCGGAGCCCCGATTCAAAGCGGTTAATGGCCGCCGCGCGGGCGTCGGGAACGCCCCGCCCCTTGAGCGCGCCGCTTCCCGGGCCTTCTGGGAAAGCGGGCCGGGCGGGCGCGGGCGTGCCGGGACTCGTCCGCCGGCGGCGCTCCGCCCGCTCTCTGGAGACACCCGCTCGCCGCGCACCCCACGACTCAGCGCCTCCTCGCGGTTTTCTCTTTTTCTTCAAAAAAGAGGGCGCGGGCCAGGTCGGGGGGGCGTGGCCCTTCCCCAGTGGGGTCCGGGATTGGCCCTGGCCAAGCATAAGGCATTTTTTTTTTTTTTTGTAGAGATGTGGTCTTGCTATGTTGCCCAGGCTGGTCCCCAACTTTCAAAGTACTAAGATTGCAGGCGTGAGCTGCTGCGCCCAGCCCTTAGCCTGTATTTTTGGGGAAAAAAAGAGCTCTCAAGAGTGATCTTGACCTTTTCAGGTTGAACAGGGAGAACTTTGACCCTGAAAACTCAGCAACCAACACAACAGATAAGACCTCAAGCTCTCTTCCCACCCCCCGTTGGGGTCTCTCTTTGTCACTCTGTGTGTTTTTCTCAACCTCCTTTTCTTTCCCAATTCTGTTTCACAGAATTGTTCACAATTTTCTTGTGAATTAAGCTGATAGATAAACCCAAGCTATGAGCTTTTTTTTTTTTTTAAGACAGGGTCTCGCTCTGTTGGCTCTGCCACGGAGGCTGGAATGTAGTGGCGCATCATAGCTCACTGCAGGCTGGGACTCCTGGGCTCAAGGGACCCCCCTGCCCCAGCCTCCCATAAGCTATCACCCTCCCGTCCCGTGCATAACGATTGTTACTGGTAGAAATGAACAAAACAAAATTAATTTGATAAGAGGTAAGCTGCACATGGTAAATGTCTTTACTAAAGTGGATA